AAAATCTGTTTACTCTCCGTCCTTGAACTGACCAGCTAACTATGCTTTATTCCCACTTTGTCTATAAAACTCGATGTTCTACAATCTCTGTTAAAGAAAAAAAAAAAAAAGCCTGACTGCTATTTCTGAAAGGTAGAATGTTGATGTGATTCTATTGTTTGATGCTGGTATCTTCTATATTTTCAAAGCTAATTATACTTCTATGTGGAAATTCTTTTGTTTCATTTAAAAATTACTTCCAGGCAAAAGGTGAAAAATATAATTTTGTCATGACACCGTTTTGATAATAGTTCAAGTGAATCAGAAGCCATGACGTAATTGTATGTTGGTGAAAGGTTTAGTGTACCAGAAGCTAAGGAAACGTGGACGTAGGACTTTCTATGTGGTTATGCTGTCTTGGCAATGGCTGTGTTGTGGAGATTGACACTTTCCAACATGAAAATAAAACAAGAAAGCCAGATTTTTAAAGAAAAATGACTGCATTTCAGGCTCAAAATATCTGTCATGCCTTTTCCCAGAAATGATAAATCTGTGCTTTGTAAGCCAAGGATGTTGCTCTGAAAGTAATGCCTCCTATTAACTTCTGTGGAACTGCAACAGATACAAAGAGCTCAACAACACTATTTGATAGAGTAAATTATCAACTACAAAATGCTATTTTTCCAACATAGTCACTGTTGTTTCCCATGCATTGAAGCCAATATTCATCTCTGTACAAGGTTCCCCAGTCATAATTCACCAGTGTTCATGTGGATGAGCTGATCAAGATACTCTTCATTATGTAGTCTGACAGCATTACCTGGCCATCCAGAACACAGCTTGTCTTCCATGTCACCATTGCCACTGCTGAAACGCATCACCCACAGTCTCACTGTGCTCTTCATTCTCCATTCACTCTTCAGTCTCCATAAACATTCTGCAAGCATCAGTGAATGTCAGTGGGTGCAATTTTATTCTACATGGGTGCTATTTTGTTCCATATGGGAGAATTTGCTTCACATGCACTTCCATGTCAGATGTCATTTTGTCAGCTGCTCCTCTGCTGCTGTCTGTCACACATCAACAAAATAATATTGATGGAGAAGTTCAACCCCTAATGCCATCCCATGACATCTGCCTCTGACATCATGGATGAACATAATAAAATAGGAGGCATTACTTTTGGAGCAGCCCTGTATTTAGGGTGTGGAAGTGGATCATCAGAAAGGTAAGATCTTTTTAAAATTGATTCAAAAGAGCAGACGTCGAGTTTCCCTGTAAAAATGAAGGGCAATTTTACTTAGAGACACAGTGCTTTGAACATTCAGTGTGTCTTGAGAGTAGATTTGAGCTTTCAGAGTGTATTCACTTTTTTCCTTTGTAGCTCTTTTCCCTTTGTATCTATTTTAGGAGCATCTGTGTACAGCTTCCACCCTGTGACAGTGAAGGTCTCTTTATACGGTGTAGACTAGAACAGACTGCACTGTAGGAGGATGTTGTATTACTGTAACCTCGTATTATAAGAAAAATTTAGCAAGTGCTTTAAAAAGCCAATACAAGAAATAACAGCAAGACCACGAAAAAAATATCTAGAAATATAAACCTGTGGGTTATTTTATTCTGAGAACATAAGTAAGAGGAAAGAAAAGGAAATAGGATGGAGGAAAGAGCATACTACAATAAGAAAAAGCTGTACGAGTGATTTCCTGGTTGACTCATCATCAATCACATTAAGAGGATCTTTGATTAATTTTTTTTCTAAATCATTTCCTTTTATTTTAAACTACTTTTAAATTGTTAATAAGTTAAATTAACCAGATAAATATGTATTTAGTAGATTGCAGGGACAAGAAAGGATTCAAACTTCATTTATACTTCCTGAGGCTACCAGAGGTCTAGGAAGGGCTTGAGGGTTTGAGAGAGATGCAATACCTCCTTCTCCACTGTGTGAACCAGTCTATTGTTAATGCAAGTTAACTAACTTACTTACCCAGTGGCTTCTAACTCTCCACTAACTGCTGAGCTGCTAACAATGAGCAACTTCTACCAAAAGATTAAGAAAAGAAAACCTCCTGTGTCATTCAGTAGATGGTGCTCTCCCCTTTTCCTGAAGGGGCAGCTCATGATGGTGATACCCTAAATGCTATATTTCAAGTAAATTAAAGCTACAATTCTTCTATGTTTTGTGCCACCCTTGCATGGTATGAGTTTTGTCAACTTTTGGATATTGTCTGCTGTGTCCAGGCCAAGACCTAATTTATCTTGTTTACTTCATTTATTTAAAACATCCCACTTTCTCTCCTGACAAAGTCTAGTTAACAAGGTTTAGATCTACCAACATTTTGCTGCTCTCCAGGAAAGAAAGAACATACATTGTGCATTGACTCATTTCCACCCTAGACATGCAAGACCTACTGCTATTTTTGTTGAGTTAAAGAGCTGTTCTCAAGCGTTTCTCCCACTCAGTCTGCAGTACTGATTTATTTCATCTATCTGGCTTTCCAGGACTTGCACCAATCCTGGTAGACACCAGTGGATTTATGAATGTCCAGGTCCTGACACCTGCCTCAAATAATAACCATATTCCTGGCCAGTGCTGGAGCAATTACTGGGCATGATCTAATCTCCACTTGTCATCTTGCACCTTGGTTCCCATCAGGAGAAAATATGATTATATACGCTCCTACCAAGTCCTTGATTTTGGAGAAGTAAAATCCGAAGGCATTGCAAGAGCATTCCAATTATAAATAAAAGTATTTACAGGGTAGTAATGCTTCCTATCCGCTGTTATTTAAACCATGAAGATATGGGCTACAGTGGGCATTTCTCTTGTCTCATAATTTTGAAAGAACGAAAAAAAATCTGATTATTTCTAGTCCCTTGACCACAGCTTTTCCATGGAAACAGAAGCTGTCAGTGCCACTTTTCTGTCTCCATGGTCAAGATCTGTTGACCATGTTGACTTCTACTCAGTCTGGACACAAGCTGAGGAATGAGGTTTGAAGAGGCAGAAAAGTTGTAATGAAAACCCCAAACTAAAATACTAAGCTCAAAGATCAGGATGTAGCTGGAACTGTTGATAACAGTAATTTCCTTGTAGTATCTGGTTTCCATGTAGTGTCTGATACTTTTCTGAAAAGAGAGAGGCATTTACTATTTTTTTGTGTGTGTGAGGAAGAATTGATTGCTATATTTTAAGCTTACTTAATTTTGGAACACATTTCTAGTCACATGAAGGAGAAGTTACCTAGGAACAGCCAGCATAGATTTACCAATGATTTGCAGTGCTTGAGCAACTCAATTGCCTTGTAATATGAGTGGACAGGAGCAGATTGATTTTTGCAGGGCTTTCTGCTCTGTCTCCCACAGTGGCCTTGTGTTCTGTAGGATGTGAGTGTCTGGATGAGCAGAAAACAGTGTAGAAAATGCAATTGAATAACAGGGCTCAAGTGATAGGAGGCAGCACATTATACCTTACCTGGAGGCAGGTAACAAACTGTTTGAGGGCACTTTCATCAAATTTGCAAATGGACTCATTCTGAGGGGAATAATTCAGTACCCTCAAAGGAAGATCTGCTCTTCAGAGGTACTTAGACATGCAGAAGACATTCATGAGCTGACTGGAATCTCATGAAATTCATCAGGGACAAAAGCAGTCCTGCATCTGGAAAAAAGAACCCTTGACAGAGCTGTAGGCTAGGGACAGCTGTGCATTGCTGGACATTGAGTGAAAATGGGCATGTGTTGAAAATATTTTTTCATAGCGAGGACAGTTGTGCAGGGGCAGGATTTGCTCAGAGGATGGATCAGAGAACTCTGAGATACCTTCCAGCTCAAACTGCCCTATGTTACCATAATTCTCTGTAACATTACAGCTTGGTTTAAAAATAGAAGAAAACCTGAAAGATTACTGCGGTTGATGGTGGGATTTTATTTCAGCCAGCACTGTAGAGGAAGATGCTTAGAAAAACATGCCCTGCAGCTGCCAGTACTGTCTGCTTCTCTCCTGTGAGAGGGAGAGCTTGGGCATCTGCAGTTGGCTGGGGACAGGCCCTGTCAGAAGGGATGTGGATGCTGAGGGACCCTCCTTGTTCACAAGCTCCATTTACTTTTCTGTATAACTCAGAGGGATGGGGACATTCTAGCAAAAGAGGAAGACTGATCTGGGCTGATGCTAAATTCAGTGTGAGAATTTGGGTTTTCCTTTGAGAAACCATTGCATAGCATGCAGATGGAACAAAAGCCTGTCAGAGAAATGGAAAATTTCTATAAGAATATAAAACTCTAATGGGATGCTTCAGCTGCAAACTAATGCTGAGTGTTGTTTATTTTCTGCAGAAAATGACTGCACCTTGTAATAAGGAAAGCAATATGCACATCCAGATTTTTGATAAAAGAAAATAAATCTCCCTGACATTTTATTATAGAGTAATATAATCTCTGTATTCAGCAGACTAATGGATACTGTTCCAAAACATATGATAATGTCATATCATAAATGGGTGATTTAATAGGTACTGCTTATTTTATTGGAATTTCTTGTAAATTAAATTGATGTTCACACCTGTAAAATGTGTTTTGCTATTTTGATGTAAAGTTACTAAGAAAGACCATCTTCATCTTTCCAGTGCACTGCCTAATGTGCTGCTCTTTTCTGTCATGGAGTCTCTGCCAGCTCTTTCTACTTCTAGCTGGACTTACAGAAATATTTCTGAACTTTGCTAGTCTTCTGTCATAATCTGTCAGGGGTTTGCACTACATCCCAAGAGCAGGTCCCACTGGTCCACACTGCAGAATACAAGCCAGAAAGCTATGACAACAGTTTCGGAATGATTGTATTGCAGAAACAATTAGAATTCTTCTGCCTTTGTCACAGTGAACAATAGAGAAAAGTAATGCTAAGGGTGGGATGACTCTTCATCACTATAGTAGAGATGACAGATACTGGTTCTACCCCATCACAGTCTCTAAAGATGTATTTGCACACTTCGCACACCCTAAGAGCTCAAACTAGATTATAGTTAATGTATAAATGTCACTTTTATTGTAGCATAGCACACTCTTTGAGTAACATCTAGTAAGTACTGTGAAAGGGCCAGCATGCAAGAATAGACATGGATCCAGTTTGTAAAGGAAGTTAAACAAAACTTGCCATGGGTGCTGATGTTCAGACTCTCAGATTGGATGCAGTGTGGGTAGCATCAAGTAAATGAACATCATTTTCCAGGCTGGTTTTCTCATCCCTGTTCAGAGGTGAACACTGGGTACACTTCACAGTCTAGCAAAATAGTAAAAAAAAAGGCATCAAAATGAATACTTACTATGAACTATTTTACACTCAAAACAAAATATAAAGATGAATTTCAAAAGATTCCTTAAACTGATCACTTGCTATTTTGATTTTCTCTTTGTCTGGTGTTTGCCATATTCTGTATTATTCTTTACTAGTTGAATTGAACTAAACAGGATTTTTAATGGCTCTGACTAATCTTTATAATAGGGAAAAATTTCTCCCGTGAGCAAGGAGAAAGCAGGTGGCACTAATTATCTCCAGCACGGAAGAATTCTGTGTCAAAGAAATCCAAGCACTGAAATATATTTTCCTGTCAAACTTGGCTCATTAATATGCTTATCAGTTGTGTACATATTCAAAGTATGTGTCGTATCATACAAATTTGAATGTGTCAGTGTCATGTGGATGTAATACACAATCCTTTAAAAAAAATTAATTAAAAGCCTTTTCAGAAATGTGTTTTCCCTCTTCTTTGATTGTTCATTGCATCTCTCCCTCTTGCCAAGCCAGCAGGTGGGGGAAGGCTTCCTCTGCAATGGAAGATTCTGGTCTTTTCTGCAGGAAAACACGAGCAAACAACTTTTTTTTTAATCCTGAGCTCAAACCTCAGTAAGCACTGATGTTCATGTGTATGGACAAAAAGTTCCAGCATTAAAGTGTTTCTACTTTTTCTCCTTGAACTCCCTTGTCTCTTCATGCAAATGTTCCAAAATCGGACAACATAAACCATCTCACAAGAGCAGCCATTTGAAATAAGTATTTTCTTACTGTGCATGCTTCTTCCCCTTGTACTTTTTTGCCATTCAGACCTGAGCTGGTTGTACCTTCAGGCAGAGTGTTTGCTACAGGCCTGATATCCTTCTCAGTCCCCATAGTGAAGCAGGAATGTGGGTCTTCCACCAGGATTCTGAATTCCATCTTTCTTCTCTCCCCACCTGAAAACAGCGATGCCTGCCATAACTGAAGGACATGACTGTGACTAGCAAGCTGTCCTATGCTTGGGTGGGCAGGCATGAATGTGTTCAGCACAAATCCCATGAGTGTTCTTAGCTGTCACACTCCAGCTAAAATGTCCCTGGTGTGAAGGCTGACTGATGCCTTCCACTCTCCCAAGTATCTGTCAGTCTGTACTACTTTCTGTGCAGGCCCTCAAACCCAAAGCAGACTAATTGATTGCCTTGACAGCTTACTTCTAGCTTAGGGCTTTATTTTGTCCTCCTCATTGTAGTTACTCACCAGAACACGTATGTACACTTTGCTCTGCCTGCTGTCTGAACAGGTATAATTTCCTGTCAAAGACAATGCTGACACTGAGCACACAGGGCTTACTCACTTAAAATCAGGCACTACTGAAATATACGTTAGTGTCCATGGAAGGCAGATGTTCTATCACCAGCAAACATTTTCTGATTATGGTCAACTCCCATGGTCCACCTGGCTGATAAACTTTTTATGTTAAAATTGTATCAAACTGGAATCAGAGACGTATATGGGATGAGGAATTATGGAGGATCCTGCAGGTAGCACTCAAATTTCTGTCACCTACAATCAGCTCAAGGCCTGAACTGAGTGCCCCCAGCTGGCAGCAAAAATCATCATTTGGGCTGCTTCAGCCTTCAAGTACCCTGAGCAAGAGGAAAAGAAGGGCATTTAGCATGTAAGAAAGGAGAGCTCTGAGTCTGGGCTAATGGACAGCCATATAGAGGAGTGTCCCTTAAAAGTGTTGAGGCTCTTCATGTCAATAGAAATGACAAAAATGAATTACTTTGTTCAGTATTGGCTTAATTCTCAACTCAATAAACTAACTGAGCAGAGCAAGTGCACTCTTCTAGGCTTTTATTTCTAATGAAAACTAATGAATTTTCAAGAGAACAACACAGATAAGTCATTGATTGAGTCATATACCAGACTTCTAAGCAAATAGGCTATTTGGTTCCCTCTAGGAAAGAGTTCAACAGCACGCCATTCATAGAGGGTGTTAAACTGACAGTTGATTTGATGATTTTGTTATGCTGTTAATGCTGAAAGTCATAGAATGGTTTAAGTGCTGGTTTAAGTGGTTTAAGAGGTCACAGAATGGTTTAAAGCTTTAAATGCTTAAGATGTTGTCAGAGTAGAATTTGAGATCTATGCAACATTATATCTCCTTTCAATTCAGAGAGAGAAGACTTTGTAACCACACATATTCACAGTGTGAAACCCAATGATGATAGCTAGCTAACTTTGATCAAGAAAGATGTATAACTTTTCCACAGAAAGAAAAAAGAGCACATTTTAAGACCACACCAGGGAAGATTTGTACTTGGTTTGGATGATATAGAGACTACTTCTTGTGTTTTTGTGTTTTGTGCTTTTAAATACCTGCAGCTTAGGCATATCTTGCAGAATTCAGCGCTGTGCCCTAGCAAGTTAAACTGCAGATCCTCCACAACGAGAAAATATTGTAAATAGGTGTCACAAGTGGAGAAAAGAGAAGTGTGGCATCTGGAATTTCCACAGATTATAAAGTCAGGCCAATTCTGCAGCCCTGACTCAAAGGAGAATAATCCCATTGTTGCCAAAATGACATTTTTTAGTCAGTAAGGTCTTAGTAAGACCATATTTTAAAAGTCTAGGAGACAAGATTAATGGTAAAAAAGAAAAATAAAAGAAGAACTTCAAAGACTTTGAAGTAATCAGTTCCATCCTTGTCACTGACAAAATCTTCGTAGGTTTTAATGCAAGGGTGTATTTAACTTGCATCTCTCATGACAAATTCTCAGCACAGAAGAATGGGAGCAGAGATGCAATATAGGCACAAGTGATGGACTCAGAAGTCAAAAGGCTTCTCTTCCTGTGTGGCTGGACTGCAACATCTTTGGTACCCCCAGCATGATGCAAAGTACATCACGATCCCGTTTAAAAAGTCCATCCCTTCACAGGAAAGATAAAGGGTTGTGTGGCAAAAAACCCACCTTAGTTTCTGTTGTTGTTCCTTATGGTCCAAATTCTCAAGCAATGTTTGGTTGGATCTTTTGTATGCAGTTCTGCATCTGAGAAGAGTTGTATTCGCCATGAATTGTTGACCATTAACTGTGTAGGTTTGGGGACACATTCTGCCTGCATTTCTTGATGAGTGCAGCTGTTAGTTGATACAATGTTTTGAATGAAAAATGGAAACCTCAGTAGGATTCGTAGTTTTTGCACTGAGAATCTGTAATGCCTTGATCTTCTTGGGTACAGAACTATTATTTTTATGTGTATTTAACTACCTTATTTTGCTATAGTCTAATACATATATTTCTGTGTCCTGGTGATCCTTGCAGTGATCTTTTGGGTTTCCTTTCTGCTTTATTCATTCTTCTTTTCTGTATTTGCTGTTCCTTAATCTTTAGCTTTGTTTCAACTGTTTTTACAGATAAATAAATTTTGGAAGGATACATCAATATAGATCTTTCATGAAGGTGAAAGGACAGGAAATGCAAATGGACATGAACAGTGCCTCATACTGGGAGAGAAACAAGAAGTAACTAAGTAGAAAAAAAAATCTCATTTTCAGGTGGAGGATTCCTAATAAAATAGGGTATAGAACTGTAAGATCCCCTTCTGTTTCTTTAAAGTTAACTGAGTTGATGTCTTAAAAGCACTGACAGAACTCTCATCCCTTAATACCTAAATGTCTCTCCTATTATTCAGCTACACAAGTTTAAAGATAACAATATGCATTTCAGCTACTTGTTATCTTCAACAGAAATCAAAACCTGCATACATTCATTACTCACCACTGGACTATGAAATACCAACATGATACAGCCATAAAAGAAGTTACTGAAGCTAAAGGACAGCGTTGTCACAAGAATATACCAATAGGAGCCAGCTGTTTATAACCAAAACATGAAAACTAGGAGATTTGTAAGCATCGAAGCTGTGAAGTGCTGGTTTGCCTTCCCACAGGAATACTGAGGGAGAAAACTCTAATTGCACTTAAAAACAGCATCTAAAAACTTTTCAGGAGGCCTCACACAGTAACAGCATGACTGAGAGACTATGCCCCGGGAAGGTTCTTGGATCATACATCCCCTGGAGAAGGGGAGGACATGGGACACAGGCAAAATTTCTGCATTTTGCCTCCTTATTATTCCTTCCCCCCTCTCCATCCCCCCATTCTCTCAATTTCTTTTCACTCCAGTCTGACTTTTCATATGTCTGGCTTGAAAAAAAAACCACAACAAAACATAATGTATGCTGTGATACGCATTGATGTCTGGCATGGCAAGGTGCCCCAGAGTGCCAGGAAGCCACTGATCAGGACTGCATTGCATTCAGCCACACACAGGGCACTGGAGCTGGGCTCTCTCAGTTCTTTCTTTCCTAGGTGGCAAGGAGCCATGTGCTAGCACAATGCCTTCATTGTCAGAACACAAAGGACAAAACTGCAGGTTGAGCCTGATCAGTAGTGAAACAAATCACTTGTACTTATCAGATTGCAGGGCCTTTTCTGGGTACAGAAATATGGAGCTCTTCAGAGCTGAAAAAAAAATCTGCAATGAAAATAGCAACATTTGGGCGAGCCAAAATCAAGTGAGCTAGCTTCACATTTGGAATCATGGTGTCTGACTAGTTGCTGTCACAAAATCATTCATGTAACTAAGTATTACAGAGCTGGGTGACACACCCAGGGAGCTAAACTGGAAGAAAGCATCTCTCTTGTCATTAAATACCTGCTTGCAGAAGGTAGATCCTTACTGAGAACAGATTTCTCCTTGTTAGGAAGGTATGTATGAACTAAAAATACAGGGATTTTAACCAAGGGCAAGATCAATCCACTGTCTTCCCTTACACTTTTTCATGACAGAGAAGTTGACAAAAGGCTGTTTCACAGAATCACAGAATGACCCAGGTTGGAAGGGATCTCAAGGATCATGAATCTCCTACCCCCCTTCCACAGGCAGGGCCACCAACCTCCCCATTTCATACTAGACCATGCTGCTCAGGGCCCCATCCAATCTGGCCTTGAACACCTCCAGGGATGGGGAATCCACAGCCTCTCTGGGCAGCCTGTTCCAGCACCTGTTTCTGGTTAATTGCTCTCCAGGGCATTTTTTCCCACTCCCAGCACTTCAGCTTCAATGCGTGTCAGATCGTGACACACGGAAGAGTTGGATATATGTGTCTTATTGTAATTTTGCCTGGAAGTAATAGAGAGACAATAAACAGGGAATGGCCAATGTGTGTATTTGTTCTGAAACTGACTAGGCTTAGAAGAAAACACTTAAGAAGAGGATCACCTGATGCAGTTGGAATCTGCAGTTCAATGACCTTGGCAGTCTCCTTCCCTCTTGTGTTATTTCCAGGTCTCTGGAAACAGCAGTTTGATAGTTATCAACTGTCTTCTCTCTGAGTATGCTATTATATACTGCTGTTATTTTTGTTTGTTTGCTTGTTTTCTCCTAAGCTTCAATAATAGTAGTTTTGTGCCAGAAAGCCCTCATAAGCAGAAAACTGTCAACTGCACTCCTTGTTGAGCTCCAGAAATAATCTCTTCATACCCAACATTTTGCTTGCCTTGGAGTATAGCTTATTTAGTGTAAGAAGTTCTCTGAAGTGAGTAGATCCAAAGCTTCGCAGCCTTTTATTAACTGTAGTGTTCTCAAAAAACCTTATGTGTAAGTACATCTAATTATTTTTGCTCTTCAGCAGACCAGAGAAATAACTACAAGAAACTAATAATTACTTCTTCTTTTTTAATTTTTTTTATTATTATTTTTGTCCTTGATAATTCTGTTCTGCAGTAATTCCTCCAGTGTAATTCACAGACTTCCTTCAGCACACAAAAAATGTAATCTTTGGATATTTAGGGAATAATAAAAGTCCCAATATATGCATGAAGAATGTCATATTACTTGCTTCCTAATGACTAGGCTAGATTCTGGAGGCAACGACTCCCTTTGGCTGTGTTGTCTCAAAGATACCTTGTCTTCTTTTCCATCCTGGAAAAAAATATTCTTTACTGATTGTCCCACTATACTACTTAGATCCATTTTGCTACTTCCACAAAAAACAACAACAACAACAGCACCAAACAGATAGGGGAAAATGGTTACCATTTTATTTGGCAGCCTTCTTATCCCAGCAGCTGAACAACCAGAAAATGAGATTTGTGAGTGGACTGCAAGGCTGTCTACTACAGCCTAAAAGTTTTACTACTGATTTTTATAGGACTTTATAACATATATAAATCAGACAGATAGAATGGTGTGCAGCCCTTAATCTGTTCTCTGTATATTTGTAGACGTGGCTAATGTGTGAAGGATTATCTTTCATATATTTAATGATAGTAAAAAAGACTTAACTGCACAAACCAGGTGTTGATTTTCACATCTGTACTTGACCACTGACTTGGCAGTATTTTCCTCATTGGCACGGAAGTGCTGGACCTGGAGGAAGCATTCTAGAAGGATTCAGAGACCAT